CTTCCATGCCACCAGTCGCCCCTCTCATACCGTTGGTTTCCCCTCCACTTCTTAAAATCCAGACTTTTTCTTGGGGGACTGCTCTCCTATGTCTCTCCCTACTCCCACCCCACAGGAGTTCTGCCATCCATTTTCAGTGAGTATACTAGAAACTGCTTCACTTATTTATACCCCCCCCAGGCTTCTGGGGGGGAGGGTACATTTCTAAAAGTAAAGACAGCATCCCATCCCATGGAACTGTCACTTTATACCCTTTATTTATACCTTCCCCATACATTCTCATATTCTTCATTCTGCTGGAGATATTTGTATCCACATATTGCAACCACCCATTGGACCAAAAGCTCCATGAGGGCAGGGACCATGACTCCTTTTACCTTTGAATAGTCCATTGTGCCTTTCAGGATCTTGTACATAGATTCTGATCAATATGTGCTTATTGAATCAAACTCAGTTATACTGCAGAAACAAGCCATCATAAATCAGTACTTGTTATGGGGGAGAAAGCCACACTCCAGGAGTGTGTGGAGGGGGGGATGGTGGTGGGCAGAGCTAAAGATGATCAATGCCATTGTTTACTTTTTCTATATTGCTTCTCAGCTCCTTGCCCCATCCCAGTTGGGATCTGGATGCCCTCTAGGTGGGACCATGATGGATAAAGTAACTCCAAAGGCCAGTCTGTTTGGGGATTTTAATAGGAAGCCTGATGTCAGCAACAGAGGAATTATTTCCCTCAGAGGAGTTACGTACCACAATTCATTTGCACCAATGGCTCTGTGGGTACAGACGTATCTCCTTATTGATTGAGATAAAGCATTTGGCTGAAATGTAATTAAGTTGAGTGCTCTAAAACCCGACTCACAAAAGTAAACATTTCTAAGACACAGTGAGGACAATTTAGTTGAGCCAGGAGGATGACAAGGGATTCACTTTGCAAACAAAAAGGAAGATTGGATTAGCAACTGAAGGCATCCATACCAAAGACGGCACAAAGTTTGACCTTCAGTGGCATGGGCCACTTGGTGCCACCACACCCCTCCACCTGCTCCAGGGTTATTCTGCCCATACCTCTGAGAGATGTCACCTCACCCCAGGCCATCTCCCTCATACCACACTGTAGGCTTACAGATTTTGATTCAGGGGGAACCTTAAGGAACATTTAGTCCAATGCTCTCAGTTTATAGAAGAGGAAAAAAAAAGCCCACAGAGGTGAAATGATTTGGCTAAGGTTTCAGAGTGCAAGTTTTGTACTCAGGTTCTCTGATTCCCAATCCAGAGCCTTTGCCCCACACCATACTGCCTTCCTTCCAAGTTGTGCCATGAGAAAGAAGGTTCCTCTGTTCTTTTCTCATCTATTCCATTGTAAAGCGTGTAGCATCACAGAAAGAGGACTGGCTTTAGAGTTTAAAGATCTCAGCTAGAAGCCTCACCCTATTCCTTACAATTTTCAGGATCTTTCCACTACTATAAAATGAGACAGTTGGTGCACAAAGTGATCTCTAAAATCCTTTCCCTGCTAGCCTATGAGTTTGCATTTTCTCTTCTAGGCAATTCTATTCTCACTGGAGCCATTGAAGGGTTTTATGAAGGGGAGTGGCTTGCTTTGACCAGTGCACTGGGAAAGATGACTGCGGCATCTGTGTGGAGGATGGTTTGCGGAAGAAAGAGACTGGAGGCAGGGATATCAATTAACAGGCTTTCATGATGGTCTAGACAAGAGAGGATGAAAGCCTGAACTAGGATTAGGTCACTGTAAATAGAGGAGAGGGGATGGAGAAGAGAAATGCGATGGAGATAAAATGAACAGGTCTTGGCAACTGATTAGATGTAGAGAGTGAGAGAGAGGAAGCTGGGGAAGGGAATGAAACAAGCATTTATTAAGCACCAACCATGTTCAAGGTCCTATGCTAAGTGCTTTCCAAATATTATCTTATTTGATTCTCACAACAACCCTGGGAGGTAGGTATTGTTTTGGGCCCCATTTGGGGAAACTGAGGCAGACAGAGGTTAAGTGACTTGCCTAGGGTAATCCAGCTAGTAAACTTCTGAGACCACATGTGGACTTAGGCCTTCCTGACTATGGTTCCAGGGCTCTGTGCACTATGGCGCCATCTAGTAGCCTCAAAGGGTCAAAGATATCTCAGAGATTTTAAATCTGAGTGATGCTATCCACCGAAAGACAGAAGTTAGGAAAAGGTATGACTACAGATTCTGATAGCTTGAAAGGGAGATGATACAGTGGAAAGAAGACTAGCTCTAGAATCATAAGATCTGAGTTCAAATCCTCCTTAGGGCTCAGTCTCTTCATCTGTAAAACAAGAGGATTTGGACCTCTGAGTCTCCTTCTAGCTCTAAAAAGAAAAGAAATGTTGGGGGATCCCCATGCTTTTATTTTGGCCCCTAACAGAATACATTTTTAGGAAGTGGTGGAAAAAGACAGTCATTTCTAGAGGCATACATCCTTACAGTCACACAAATGGCAGGCAGCAATCTGTTACGGGAGGAGGAGACAGAAAAACTACAAAAATCAGACACAAACATTTTTAAAAGCACTGCAACCTGGGACAAACAGCCCTGTGCATCTCAGCAGCCCTTGCCAGTATGTACCACTGTATCAAATCCTAGTCCAATCATTGACGTTCCTAACAATGACTGGGAGTCATTCAGAAAAAAAAAGTTTCATTATGGTCAACGTCCTCTGTTGTTAATAATAATGATAATAATGACAATGATAATAATAGCTAACATTTATAGAGTTCTTACTATATGCCTGTGCCAAGTGTTTTATAATTATTATTTCATTTGATCCCCTCAACCCTGGGAAGTAGATGCTATTATTATTCCCATTTCACAGATGCAGAAACTTGAAGAAAATATAGGTCAAGTGACTTGTCCAGGGTCACACAGCTAGTAATTGTCTGAGGCTAGATTTGAACTCAGCTCTTCCTGAATGCAAGTCCATCACTCCATCCCCTGTGTCACTTAGCTACTCCATAGATGGCCTGTGAAGTTTGTTCCATTCTGTGGAATGAAGGGTAACTGTCCTCATGCATTAAGATGAAGCCACATCCTGAATGCCATCCTTTTTAACAGGCAAGCCACAGAGCTGACCCTTGGCTCCTCTGACCCATGAAGTCTGAGTGAGGAAAACACACTCCTCCATCTGATCAGCCATCAAATTCCTTTCCTCTGGCTCAGGGTGAAGTTAATAACTTTTCTGCAGACCGGATATTGCCTCTGAGATAAAATGGGGATATCATTTGATATTGTCAGAGTCCTGCTGCTTGGCCCTAGCCAGGGGAATGGGGAGGGGGAGGAGGGCCGCTCCACTTAAGGCAGCCTAAATTCCACAGCAGGACTATTCAAATGCCTGGGATACTTTAGATCAATCCGGGGCTCAGGAACTTGTTTTATTTTTATTGTAATATTTTGATAAACACATTTTAATACTATTGTTTTTTTTTGTCATCCTATGTATTTCATTTTAGGCATTTAAAAACATCCCGAGAAGCATCCATAGGTTTCACAAGGCTGCCAGAGGGGTCCATGATATGAAAAAGGTTACAAACCTTTGCCTCACAGGGGAAGCTACTAGCAGCTGAGATGAGCAGGGTATGTATGGACCCAGGAACAGAGCCTTCAAAAGTGGAGAGACTCCAAGAGTGGAGTCCTGAGGGAAGTCAGGGAGTCTAAAAGGCACGAGTGTGAAGGGAGAGCATGCTAGGCACCTGGATCAGTTAGGGCAAAGGCACAGGGTTGGGAGATGGAGAGTACATTCATTCATTCATTCAAACATTTATTTTAAGAATCTGACAAGGGCAAAGCACTGACTTAGGTACTGGAGGAGATAAAAATATTGGATGGCCCCTGTTTTCATGCAGTTTACCTAAGGCACAGGTTGTACCCAGGAGGGACTGGAGGAAATAAGGAGATATGACAAGAGTTCAAGCTCACAATAAGAGAGTGGGGGCAAAGCCAGGGAAGGGGCTGTACCTCTCCTTTCCCATCATCTCCTGCCCCTCACTACTCTTACATCCCAGGTGGTTGCCCCTCTTTGCTTTTCTGGATCCAATGAAGTGCTTTCTCTTTACCCTGATAAAACAGGAGGTGGGGAACTTGCTTTCTGTCTAGGTTCACAGTCTCTGAGGAGGAAAGATCAATCAAGGGCCAAGAACAAATTTTTTAAAATGTCAGTTTGGGGACAGGTTTGAAGGCATTCCTGTCCCCCCTTTCTACTGTAAATAATAAATGATTTGACTCATCTAATACACAAAAAACCAAGAAATTTTAAATGGTCTTTTGTGCATACAACCAATATTTAGAGGAATACTACTTTTCAACATCACAGCTGATCAAGGTAGAAGATAAATGAGCAAAGGAAGGAAGAGAAAGTGAAAGGAAATGAAATAGAAAAAGATACACAGAGAGGGAGGGGAAGAGAGACAGGCTTAGGGAGAGGAAAGAGGGAGAGGGAGAGAGAGAGAGAGAGAGAGAGAGAGAGAGAGAGAGAGAGAGAGAGAGAGAGAGAGAGAGAGAGAGGGAGAGAGAGGCAGATACATAAAAACGGGATATGAAAGAGGAGAGGAAAAGGGATTATAGAGGTTGAGACAGGTAGAAAGGAAGAGAGAGGTATAGAAAGAAAAAGATGCAGGGATATTTAAGGTGGCTAAGATTCTGGGGTAAGTTCTCCTGTCATACTCTGTCAGTCACCCAGTGGGCAAATGGGTTGTCATTCTTGTCTATTGAAATATTAATTTGCTGATTGCTGTTCACAGTTTTCCAGCCTCTTTTAATCCCTGAATCTCTCAGAGGTTCTGAATTAGACAACTGCAGCATCCTTCCAAGAAGAAAGTATTTTCTGAATTGTAATGGCAGCAACCATCCTAGTATCAACCCCCAGATGACACACTCGGGGCCAGATTTAGCCCTGGGAATAGAGGTGACTTCCTCCAGTTCGTGCCAAACTACTTCTCTAGGAGAAAAAGAAAAGTGATACTCACAACTTATGGTTATTCCCAACTCCACTCCTCTTTTCTTGGGTAGCTTCACATGAAAGGTGCCACTGCTTGGGATCACTGACTCTGGAAAACAAAGACACAGATGCTCTATGTGTCCACGCAATTTGAATGTTCATCAAAAATAATTCAGGACAAGTGTTGACCTCCCCTAGTCAAGAAAATCAGACCACTTTGACTCCTGGCCCCAAGGTTTTCTTATTTGCTTGGTTGTTTGTTATTAAAGCTGGAAAGAATCTTTGAGATAATGAAGTCTAGTCATCTCATTTTACAGAAGAGGAAACTGACTCTCGCTCCCAACAAACATTTAGAAAGTTCCTGTTAAACTAATAAAAATAAAAAAAAAAGGCAGTGTGCTAAATGCTGAGATACAAAGATCAATAGCAATATAGTCCCTGCCCCTCAGGATGCTTCCATTCTCCTGGGGGCATACAATGTGGAAACAGGCAAGTAATTGTATGATAGTATGAAGAGAAAAGAGAGAAATCTAACAGCTAAGGGGATCATCAAGGCTTCCTGTGTGGGATGGCACATGAGCTAAGCCTTAAAGGAAGTTGGGAAATCTAAGAAGTGGATGGAAGTGATTCGCTATAGGCCATAGATGAAGTGTTATTGGAGGATAGTGGCAGAATGGTTCAGTCCTCCCAGATAATATTTGCACTTTAACTAGAGCCTACCAAGATTTAACCCAAAGGCAGTATATACTTGGTAATGTTGGAATCTCAGGCATTCTGACAGATCAGTCAGGGAGTTATTTGGAGTTATCTGGACCCTTCAAGCCCTGTCAAACAACATTATATAATCAGCCACCTACTTTGCTTACATGTAACATTGGCTCAAGAAGGATAGCTCCTTTAGAAAGGGTCCCCTTGTAATAACAATTTCCTCCTATTAAATATTTCAAACTTTAAGTGCGAAGACTCTGAAAAACAGGACGTAGGAGTCTTCTAGACCGCCTTCACCTCCTCCACTCCAACACCCAATGAGACTGAACTTGAAGATACTCAAGATCCTTCTGCAACTACTTTGACCTACTCAGGGACATCGACCTTGGTATAGATCTCCACAATGCCACCAGAATTGATTTATAAAATCACAGAATCTAAGAGTGGAAGGTCAACCAGTTCAACCCATAACTGATTGAGGATTTCCTCTATCCTTACTCCAACAAGTGGTCATCCAGTCTTTGCCTACAGACCACTATAAAAGCCCTCCATTCTATCCCTGAATAACTCTGGTTGCTAGGACGTTTTTGCATATGTTGAGCTAAAATCTGCCTCCCTGTCATTCCCCTTCCTGCTCCCAGTCATCTTAGTTCTGTTTTCTCCAACTACATAGATAAGAATACTGCCACATTTTAAGACAGGGAACAGACTTACCCAATGAGTTTTAATTTCTCAAGGCAAAATAATCCAGGCCCTTCAACTGTCCCTCTTGTAGTTTCCAGATTCCTCCCCATCCTACTTACATTTCTGTGGATTTATTTCAGTTTGTTAATATCTTTCTCAGAATGCAATCCTGGAGGAGGACATACCAATCTAGACAGAGTGTGACCAGTGCAGAGCACCATGGTACGAGATTGTATAGTTAGCCTAAGATGGATTTAGTTTAAAAAAAAATTAAGCATCTACCTCATACTATAGCTCATACTGAGCCTATGGGCAACTAAAATCTCAAGATCTGTTTTTTCCACATGAATTACTATTAAGTCACATTTCCTCCATCCTACCCTTGAACAAATTGATTTCTTGAGCCTAAATGGAGGACTTTACATTTATTCTGGCTAAATTTCACTTTATTGATTTTAGGCCCATTTTTTCATCTTCTTTATGGAACTCTCAAAGAATTTCAGAAGGGAGAAAGGATCTCAGTGGCCATTTAATTTAACTCATAAGCCCCAAAGAATCACCTTTTACATACCTAACAAGTGACCACCTAGTCTCTCCTTGAAGATCTCCAATGATGGAGAACCCACCATTGTGTTTGGCCACCCACTTAACTTCCTGATAGTTCTCATTGTTAGGAAGTTTTTCTTTATAATCTATCATCCTTTCCCATATATTTTTTCTAGTTGTTGTCATTCACAAATATGAAATATTCTCTGAGGGAGGGGAGGCTTTGAGTGTACTTCACTCTGGGCTCATGGAGAATGTCCTTTTTAGCCAAACTGTCCTCTTCATATTTTCTATACAGGACATCCTATCTTCCTTCTTTATGCCTTTATGAAGATTGTCACCTATCCTCAAACACACCCTTCTTCACCTCCATCTCTTGGAATCCCCAGACTCCTTCAAGTCTCAGGCCAAGTGCCTCTTCCTACAGGAGACTTATCCTAATAGTCCTTCTTCCCCCATTACTAATTTTCTCCTTGTACTTTGTACAAAATTACTTCATATGTATTTATCTGTATACATAGTTTCTCCCTTAAGTAGAACATAAGCTCCTTGAGGGCAAAGACTTTCGTTTTTGTCTTTGTATCTCCGGTGCCTAGAATGATACCTGACGCACAGTAGATGCGTATAAATATTTGCTTAATGAATGAATGAAAGTTGGGGTACCACAGGTTGGCCTTGTGGTCCTTCATGGCTTATGTGGTTCTTAAGAAGGCTCACCTTTAGTTAAAGCTCCTAATCTGCTCCTCCAGGATACTTGTAGGTATACTAGTATGCAGGCTAGTGACATCATGAGGCAGACCCCTCTGCGGCCATGGGGTGGCCCACCTTCTCTTAGCCATCCAGTGGTCCCAAGGGCACTGAACTGACATAGAATCCACCCAGCCTAATAATAACCACTCAGCTGCCTCACCAGCTGTTAGGTCAAGAGGCTATATTAAGCCCGGGCAGGCTGGGGCCTAGAATGCTATGAGCATCAAGAATGTGCCTTCAGCTCAAGGGAAAGCACCACCCCAACAGGATAACCATATGATTTGGCATGTCTGGTCAACAGATAGGAAATTCATCACCTCTTTCTGTATCACTCCCTTTTGTACAGAGATAGTCTTACTTTATTTAACAGGGTAGAACTATCAACAGACCCTTGGACTAGGCAGCTAGATGGTTCAGTGGTTGGAAAGGTGGACCTGGAGTTAGGAAGACTTGAGTTCAAATCCTGCCTCAGACATTTACTAGCTGTGTGAAGTCACGTAACCTCTCTTTGCCTCAGTTTCCTCATCTGTCAAATGAGGAATAATAACAGTACCTTCCACATAAGGTTACCGTGAGGATGAAGTGAGAAATATTTGTGAAGCACTGAGCACACTGCCTGGCACATGGTAGGCACTTAGTCTCCCCATCCCTACCCCTCTTAGATCAGTTCACATATATCTGTTTCCAATGTGCTTTCACATTCAATATTGCTTGGGATACTAGTGAAGTAGACAGGACAGAATTTGCTTATCCCCATTTTATAGATGAAGAAACTGAGGTTCAAAGAAATTTGGTAATCTGTTCAAGGCCACCCAGGTCATAAGTACTAGAGCTAGAAATTAGAAACGAGCTACTCTCCCCACACTCTTTATTATACCACAGCCTCTTCTTTGGGAGCACCTAAGAGCACCTTGGGAGAGAGCAGAGAACGTAAGTTTGTGGGGCAGAGATGATGGGCATCATGGGATCAGGGAAAAGGCCTGAAAAAAAAGAGGATCCTCCTTCTGAATCCTAACACATAGTAGGCCCACTTTCAGAAGCATGCTTAAAGTATAAGGGGTCTGGTTACCTGCTACATCAAACTCAATCTCCAGGGAGACTTTGTTTGATAGGGCTGCATCCCGCAAGAGCTGGTTGGCCTCTTCCATGGTGCCATCTTCCGTGGCAATGCTGTTGATGGACAATACTCTGTCTCCAACCTGCAGCAGGCCACATCTGGAATCCCCAAAGAGAGGGATGGTGTGTAGTAAGGGTTGGGGCAGCGTGGGGAAGGTGGGAGACAAAGAACATAGGGTGGGATCAAAGTGTTGGGCCTTCGAGGTCCTCTCATTCCAACCCCATTGTGTGACTAGGACACAGCTGAGGCCCAGAGAGGGGCCTTCATGGGGACAAAAATATGTGTCCACAGCCACATGGAAAATTGGTGAGAGTTGGGTTGAGAACCTGGGGCTCCTAATTCCCAGCCCAGCTCTCTTCACAATGCTGTGCTCTCCCAAGACAACATTCCAGTCCACAGAGGGTGATTGAGGAAGTGTGTACAATGAGGGCATAAGGGCATTTACCAATGAATCAGATTTGGTTCTGATCCACAGGAGGCTTACAGCCCAGTGGCAGAATGAGACCCAGACACATATACAAGGCAGAATTTGACAAGTACCCAAGAGAGGAATTCAGAGGATCAAGTAATCACTGTGGGCTGAGATGGTTAGTGAGAATTCATACACTTGGACTGTGTCTAATGATAATAATAATAATATTAATAAATAGTCAGTATTAGGGTTATCATCAGAGGCAGAGTTGGAATTAGGATTAGGTTTTCAAAGTGATATCATTTGACTCTTACAATAACCTTGTGAGGTCAGTGCTATTATTATCCACATTTTACAGATGAGAAAATTGAGGTTGGGACAGGTGAAATGACTTGCCCAGGGTCACATAGCTAAGTAAGTATCTGAGGTAGGATTTGAACTCAGATCTTTCTGACTTCAAGCCAAGCATTCTAGACACCACCCCATCTAATTAATGGACTTTAGACCTCGAAGGATGAATAGAAATTAAATTGAGAAGGCGAAAAGGGAATTCTGGGAAGAGCAATTATGTGGGCAAAGATTCAGAGGTAAGAAAGGATCAAAAGATTAGAATGAGAAGGGAGCTTGGAGGCCACTAGGTTCAACCTGCTCATTTTCTAGGAAACTGACATCTAGAGAGTCTGAGGAGCTCCCCCAGGCACCCAGGGAGCAAGTGACCGAGGTTGGACTTGATCCCAGGTTCTCCTACTCCAGATTAATTTCTCTTCCCACTGTGGCCTGGAGCCTTTCAGAAAAATGTGTTAGGAAGATGACAAATAGACAGTTTGGAGAAAAGTCTTCTTACTCATGTTTAGATCATTGTCATTGTTAATATGTTTATAGCTATACTTTGCTGGTAAATTTAATCTTGATAAAAAGTTAATACTTAGAACTATGCAAATGACAGCCTTGGGTGGTGTCCTTCAGCCAAATAATATTTATTAAGCACCTACTATGTGCCGTTATGGGGATACAAAGAAACAGTCTCTGCTCTCAAGATTTCACAGTCTACTAGGTGGTGGTAGCCCCCCACCCCCCCATCCCCTTTCCTGATGATCCTCCCTCAAAGGCTGGACAATTTCTCATCCAGAGAGAGTTTCTGGATTAAATGGCCTCTGAAGTGCCTTTCAACTGTGAGATTTGATGAGAAGAGGACAAATGCTTGTGTCCAAGGCTGACCAGACCCATCATGCCGTGTCAGTTTGGTGTTGCTACATAACAGCTGTTTGAGCCTGCCTTCACAGTTTAATAACAACGGGGATCATAAATGTGATACTGGAAAGGTCTTCCCGTAGTTGAGAAAATCAGACCACTTTTATTTCTGATTTTTAAAGTTTTCTTTTCTTTTTCTTTTTTTAAGAACTGGAAAGGACCTTGGACGCCATCTAATTCAACCTTCTCATTTGACAGATGAGGAAACTGAGTCCCAGGGAGGTTAAGTGATTTGCCTAGTGTTACACAGACTGAAGGTCAACAGCAGGATTTAAATCTGGATCCTCTCTCTGTCAAGCCTGTGCTCCTTCCACTGTGTAAAAGCCAAATTTAGGTCATGATTCAAGGTTCACAGAACAAAGACAATGGGGAGAGCCCGTGCCTGACCTTTCCTTCACATTGCTGCTTAGCAGAGTGTTGGGTCAGTTCCCTCTGTGACATGAGAAGGGAGGGGAAAGGAGAGGGTTGTGACATTCTGGCTTGTTCCCGTGGAAAAGAAAGACAAACCACTTGTCTGCCTGCAGGACCTCGTTCTTCTTACCACCACAGCCCTTAGATGCCACAAAGCTGGAAAGACTTGGAGAAAAGACCTGGCGACCAACCATGTGTCTCTTTTCCTAGTTTTAACCTGGCTAAGTCTGGAGAGGGTCCTCACCATCTTGGCTGCAGGACATGGACTGCTTTGGCCATGACAATAATTGTAGACTGTCTACTGAATTACAGAAGATTCAAGATCTCCCGCTCTAGAGGGAGGCCCCCATTAATGACATTACAGATCTCTGAAGAATCCGAGTCTTAAGATCAAGACATCATCATACTAGGAGGTAACTTGGCCTGCCAATGAATCACCTGTTGGACCTGGAGTCAAGAAGACCTGAGTTCAAAGCCTGCTTTGGATATTTCCTAGATGTGTAGCCCTGGGCAAGTTGTTTGACCTCTTTCAGCCTCTGTTTCCTCATCCATAAAATGGGGATAATAATAGCACCTACCTTACAAGGCTGTTTTTTAATATCAAATGAAATAACATATGCAAATTGCTCTGTACATCTTAAAGCAATATATGAATTCTAGCTGTCATCATCATCATCATCTTGGACAAATCACCCCACTTCTCAGTTCTTCAATTTCTCCCTCTGTGAAATGGGGATAATAGAACACCTCACTCAAGTTAGACAATAACTGTAAAGCACTTTGCAGACCTTAAAGCGTGATGCGAATGTAAGCTAGTTCATCCTTTTAGTTCCCTTTTGCTTTTCTATTTTAGGTCTAGAAGTAACATTGGAGACCATCAAGTCCAAACTCTCCATTTTCCAGATAAGGAAATTGAGGCCAGAGAGAGGAAACTTACTTGCGTTAAAAGTATCCGATCCTATGGGTCTCCTGACTGCTTGTTTAGTGCCCTTTTCGTTATTACAATCTTGAAAAATAACACCCCCACTGCTTTTTAATTCAGCACGTTCAGAAAGAGAGGCTCAGAGGCCCAGGTTCTTATGTCACATAGTCAGGACCTCATTGGGGCCTTTTTGAATGCTATCCAGGGGTCAGAGTAAAAAGTCTTATGTTTCTATAGGCAGCTACTCTCCCCTGCCTCCTAACACACACAAACACACACACACACACACACACACAGTGACTTAGATACCCTGCAGGTTCAATGGCCCTAGGAACACAAGCTATTTGAACCAATGGGTTCTGCCTTCAATCATGTAAGTGAAAGGCTTAGACCAGATGACCTCCAAGAGGTTCCTTTCAGGTTTAAATCTATGATCTTGTGACTCTAGAGTATAGGGGAATCATGCTATTCAGAGCAGATAATTTCATCCATCACCCATGCTTTACAAATGAGGAAACTGAGACCCAGAAAAAAGGAAATGACTTCCCCAAGAATCACACAAGTGGAGCCAGGATTTGAAATCAAGTCTTTTGCCTCATATGTCAAAGAGAGACAGAATATATCAAGTTCCAAGTACAAGATGAATGATTAGGCACTTTCAACAACTCTGTGGTGTTTCAGAGGCTTCTCTGAATTGTCCCAAGTCAGTTGTGACAGTAGGTCACTTGTCCTGATTTCCTACACTGCCTGGACAATTTGATAGCTTTATGTCCAGCATGTCTGGAGTGGCATTTTGATAATGGGTCATGTCGTTCAGGTGAAATGACCTGTGAGTCTGCAGAGACAGAATAAGTCCAAAGCAGCCTGGGATAATTACAGCTCCAGCCCTCATCAGTCTGGCTTTGGACTTGGCATAGTTCTGAAGGCTGATTTTTATCTCATCTTTCAGAATTTTTAGGTTTCTAGTCTTAGTCCTCTGGGCACTGACTTGGAGCAGAGATTAGCTTCCTCCCAGAGTTCCTCACAGCTGCAATGACTTCACAGCAAGGTGGCAAGCCTACTACTGCATGAGATAAGGGTCATGATGAAGGAGGGCTTCAAAAGTCCCTAAGCCACAGCTATACTCTCTTGGGCAGATGATTGCTGGGAAAAGGAAGATTGAAGTCCTAGTCTCTGGCATAGCCCATTAAGTTTCTCCAAAAATGCAAAAGACAACAATTGCTTAAGACTTAAGAACTAAGTCCTGACCTGGGTTTCAAGGCTTTCCACAATCTGTCTGGTCAATCTTAGCTCTTGCTATACATACGGACACTTAGACCACCAGGCACACAGACATTCAGAAGCAAGCATACTTACCAACAGACACACTCAGAAGCACACATTTCCTCAAAATCACACAGAAATACGTACACAATACAAACACAAACATACTTTTACAAACACACAGAGAAACAGACTTAGACCTCCCTGCTTCTTCTCTGGCAAATTGACTTAACAATCCTGTCTTCCAAATTGACTTGGCCCAGGAACTTGGGGAGTCTGAGGAAGTAGAACTGGCTTCCCTAGTAGAAACTATGTTACAGCATCTCTGAAATTAGACTTTGGGACATCCCTCATGCAGCGTAAGCCTCTTCTACTTAATTGATAGAAAAAAGCCTGTTATAATTGCAAATTGGATTTAAAACTAAACCAAGGGCTTCCTACAGCTTAATTCCCTGTACCAGTGAGTCTTGCTGGCAGGGTTGTGGTGTGCAGAGAGGCCTGGCTCTTTAGTACCTACTAGATCAAGCCCCAAATCCTCTTAGCCTGGCATTCAAAGCTCTGAACCAAACCACTCTCTCTCTCTCTCTCTCTCTCTCTCTCTCTCTCTCTCTTTCTCTTTGGCGATAATTGGGGTTAACTTCAGGTCCTTCTGACTTCAAGGCTGGTGCCAACTAGATGCCTTTTCAAACCTATCTATTTAACTTAATTATCCCTCGATTATATCCATCCTCTGCTTCAGTCAGGATGGTTTCCACAGACTATTTCCTACTTCCACTCTTTGACTCAGGCCATTCCTCTTATCTACAGTGGCCTTCCCATTCTTCTCCACCTGCTTAAATTCTAGGCAGCATTAAAGGCCCAGCTCAAGAGCTTCTTCCTCCAGGAAGCTCTCACTGACTACTCCAGTCCACATTAGTTTCTGAATTCCCTGACCCCCACAGCATGTATCATCCATATAGGGATGTACCGGATAGAGAGCATGCCTTGAAGACAGGAAGACCTGGATTGAAGTCTTCTCCTGATGCATATTGGTTGCATGACCCCGGACAAGTCATTTAGCCTTTGCATGTTCCAGGCAGCTCTCTAGAATGTTTAAGTTGTAGAGAAGGTGTCAACCTACTTCTTGATAGAGAGAATTTCTTGTATCATCAAGATTATAGGTCCAGTTCCTACCCCAGTCCCTCAAATTAGCATCTGATTATATGTTGTCTCTGTTTGACATGTGACTAACTAGATCTTAAGCCACCTGAGGACAGGGGTCTGGAATTCTAGGGCCATCTTGTTCGTCTCTTCCCTTTAGCCTCCAGTAGCAGAATTGGGTCTGCAGAAATACTTGCTGGTGTGAAAGCTGGATCGATTCTTGTTCCTAAGGGCTAGATCTAACCTCTCAGCAGGGCTGTCGGGCTCAATGAAGCGGATGAGCGGTGGGGAGGAAAGGGTTTCTGTGGCGAAGATTCCACCCTGGAGCTGGAGTCCAAAGCCGTTCAGGGGGTCACCCCTAAGGACCACATCTGTTGTTTCTGTGTGCACGATTTGGCCACCAGGCCCCACGGTGCTGGAGGCGAGGGACACTGAAAAAGTAGAAAGATGGATTAGGTTAGCATGTGGAAGCCAGGACACTGAAGGGGGCTTTTCTTTCACCGCTCAGTCTACTCTCCAAGCATTTATAAGGAGTCTAGACACTGGGCCTGGCTTTCCCTTTGTTATCTTAGTAGCATCTTCTACTACCCTTTATTTCTCCCTGGAATGAAACATCCTCAATGAAGGCTTCTACCCTTTGGGAGGCAGCTAGGTACAGCAGAGGAGAGAGTGCTGAGCCTGGAGTCGGGAAGACCTGAGTTAAGTCTGATCTCAGGCACTTACTAGCTATGTGACTCTGGGCAAGTCATTTAACCTCAATTTGCCTCTGTTTTCTCAATATAAAATGGGGATAATGACAGCAGCTACCTCATAGAGTTGCTGTGAGGACCAAGTGAGAGAATATTTGTGAAAAGCTGAGCACGTAGTAGGTGCTTAATAAATATTTATTCTCTTCCTCTTCTCCTTTGTTGCTCAGAAGGATAATGATGGGTAAAGTGAAGTAAAGAGAGAGAAAGGGCACGGAGGGCAGCCTTATATTCAGCAGATCCCAGAATCTCAATTGGAAGGACCTTTGGAGTCATTTCATCCAATTCCCATCTAAAACAAGAATCTCTTTTCTATGTAAGTTTTCCAATCTGAGCAATGCATGGTTAGTGAGTTATCATAGATCTAAAGTTGGAAGAGACCTCAGAGTTCATATCATCCAAGCCCTTCATTTTACAGAGGCAGAAACTGAGTCTCAGGAAGGTTATGTGACTTGCCTAAGGTCACAAAAATTGTAAATGCCAGAGGTCAGATTCAAACCCAGGTCCTCTGATGCCACAGCCAATACTCCTCCCATTGTATCTCTGCTGACTGAAATTTGGGCCAATCTACATTGTCCTACAGGGACAAAGTATTCAAGGTTACATTAGAAAAGCAGTGAATATATGCATAGTCTAAATGTCACAAAAGAAAGACTTCATCTTCAACTATACCTTGTGTAGGAAGATGGACAATAGCCACTGTTTAAATTCGAGGGTTGTCCGAATTCACTTTGAGTTAATTCTAGTCACCCATACTTTGAAGGCTTACAAAGCACAGTGCTTACAACTCTGAGGTAGTTCGGATAGAGGAAGCTGAGGCTCAGAGAGATGAAATGACTTCCCAAGAGTCATGTAGCTAGTAAATGTCAGGGCTAAGATTTGAACCCAGGTCTCCTGGATCCAAGTTCAGTACTCTTTGCATTATCCCACAATACATTGATTTCTCCACCACATATTCAAACTTAAGGTCCTAAGCAGGAGGATGCTGGAACCAGCTCAAGTGGGTGAAATGTTACATTTTCAGTGGAAGCATTTTATACCTCAGAAGTTGGCAAACACTACAAATCAGAGCTTGGTTTATTGTTTTGTTGACTGTCTGGACTTAAGAAAGTTCTGGAGAAACTATTAATAGCATAGATTAAACTTAAACTGTGCCATGCATATGCTTTTTTCCCCTAGAGTTGGTTGTTAAAATTTTTGTCAGCACATTGTCGGTTGTGAGGTACCTTAGAGTTTGGCTAGTCCAAGCCCCTAGTCATGCACTCATCCAGGTTCAGCTCAGATGCTTCCGGTAACAAGGATCTCACTATTTTCCTAGGTATCTCTCTCCTGTGATTGGACAGCTCTTATTGTGAGGAAGGTCTTCCTTATGCTGAGGCAAAACATTTGCCTTTCTATGACTATGTACACCTCTTGTTGGTCCTAGTTTTGCCCTGTCCTACAGTAGAGCGCCTGACTTCAGAGTCTATTTTAGGAAAAGTAAATGTCATAGGCAGACAGGGATGAGAAAGCTACATGCTCCTGGCATCCCTCTTTGGATCTTAGAATGCATTTTCCTAATGACATTATGTTATAAATGGAACCAAGATACTTTGATCCAAATTCAATGCCCAATTGTCATATTTGTTTCCTCCCAGGTGCCTCATTTTTCTGCTCCCCAAAGAGGACTTATGGTTGGCTTGACCCCAAATTGTCTTAGTTTGGATTGTGCTTAAACCTGCAGGATTCTAAAAATCTCTTTTTTAGTAGCAAAGGGAACAAATCCTAAAAAGTAATAATAAGAATAAATAGTCCTAAAAGAGTAGGACCCAGATTCTTCTTTGGGGATGACAGCCAAGGAAGACAGCAAAGAATCTGGGGAGATAGCCCAATTAGTGGAGGAAAGTGGTGAGAGGGCTAGATTCATAGAATTCCAGAGCTAAAGCAGTGTATCTAAAAGTATAGAATGTTAGAGACAGAAGGGATCTTAGAACACAAAATGCCAGGCCTGGAAAAGGACTCAAGACACAACATGTTCAAGAGCTAGAAAAGACCTTATAATGCAAATCTTAGACAATGTCTAGGTCAATCCTCTCATTTTAGAGATAGAAAAAAATGAGGGCCAGAGAGGATAAGTGACCCAAAGACACACGTTTATTTGGGGTCTGTTTCCTTACGTGAACTTTTGTACTCCTTTTTTCTCTGTCTTCTCCTCATCATGGTCGCCCGGGGGCTCATGGGTTGGGTGCTCCGAGGTAGTGTGCTCGAGTTTGGGCAAGAGAAGCCATGAGCATTCAGCATCGGTGAGGAGAAAGGGGCTGCAGACAGGGCTGGGGAGAAAGTTAACCATAGTTGAATGATATGGCAAAGTTCAAGCTTGCCCCCAACTCTGTAACACACCTGACTGTGTTACAGTTCAAGTTCTACATTTCCAAGGGCTTAACAGGGGCCCATTCATTTAAAAGAACATCTGGAACTTTAAGATGTTCACAATTTGTTAAAAATATTTCCCTTTTTCTGACCTTAAGTCACCTTTGGCTTAATTAATATTAAAGCCCAGGGGTGTCCATGCTTTTTCTCCCTGACATAACCAGAAAATGGATCTTTCTGGTTTTCTATCGCTTCTCTGACATAGGATGCACCATGTCACCATGCACCATGTTTTGTTATTGTAGGGTGACCATAAGAGCTGACCTGGTGTTGAACCCTTTTCTCCCTCTTGTACCTAAGATTAACTATTTACCATGGCCCAAATGTACCATTTCCTATTCCCGTGCTTTGGCTTTTACTATCCCCCAAATTTCTACCCAGACTTTAAAACCTAGCTCAGATGTAAATGCCATTTCCTGAATGAAACCTTTCCTGGTCGTACATCATGAATGCCTTTTTCTTCCTGAGGCTTGGCACTCTTTTTATGTTTATACCTCTTTGATGCGCATATTATGACTGGACTATAAGCCCCATGAGGGCAACAACTACATAGTTGATCTAAACTTTGCATTTCTCTTAGTGCCTAGCAGAGTGCTTGGTACTCATTAGACCAGGGATTCTTAACTTGGAGTTTGTGAGCTAGTTTTTTTTAATAATCTGATAACTATTTCAATATAATTGGCTTCCTTTGTAATCCCATGCATTTTATTCATGTAAAAACATTGTTCTGCAGAGTCCATAGGTTTCACTAGATTGTCAAAGCAGAATATGAGCCAGAAAAAGTTAAGAATCCTTGGTTCACTTTGAGACAAGCATATAGAACTCTAGGTCTGGAATCCAGAAGATCTGAGTTTGAGCCCTGCTTCAGACAACTATAGCCCTGGGCAAGTCATTTAACCTTAATCTCTTTTCTGATCTGTAAAATGGGGATAATAATAGCACCTATCTGCCAGAGTTGTTGTGAGGACCAAATGAGATAATATATGTAGAGCACTTCATAAACCTTAAGAGTTAGTGTTAATTACATTATTGTTGTTATTATTCTAATTGTTAGTGTTAGTTATCATATTGTTGTTATTGTTCTAATTACTAGTAAGTGTTAGTTACTATATTGTTGTTATTGTTCTAATTGTGAGTGTTAGTTACTGTATTGTTGTTATTGTTCTAATTGTTAGTAAGTGTTAGTTAATATATTGTTGTTGTTGTTCTAATTATGATTAGTGTAATGAATTGAATTGCAATGTTCCATTCCAATTATTGCTATTTGCAGATGGATCATGCCCTTTTATGAGACTGTAGGCTTCCTGAGGACAGGTATTGTGCTGTTTTAAATCCATATAACCCCAGCTCCTACATTCCTTATATAGAATAAGGTGCTTCATGTTGACTAAAATTTCCAGAGGCACTTACAAATGACTTAACTGAATTATGATGGCAGTGTGGTAAAGGAGAAATAAAACTGGTTCCAGAGTTAGAAAACTTGGGTTCAAATCCTGTCTAAACCTATGTGATGATGTATGATCCTATGCTCTACCTTGTATTATACTTATCTGTGTATGTGTTACCAACCCTCACTATAACAATCAGCAAGCATTTATCAAGGACCTACTATGTGCCAGGACCCATGCTAAGTGCTAGGGAAATAAAGACGAAAGTGTCACAGTCCCTGTCCTCAAGGACTCTACATTCTAAAAGGGAAGAAAAGATGTCTATCTTTGTATTCCTAGTACCTGCGCCTTGCACAGACACACAGTAAGTATTTAATAAATGTTCATTTAATTGACCTGAATCATGGCTGTTTCTAGATGGATGAGTATTCCATTTTTTTAATCCAGGCTCGCTGCCTGGGTCAGGGGTGGGAGTGGAGTGGGAGAAAAATAATGAGGTTGCTCCTGGTCCTGATTCTCATATAAGCCTTTGGCCATCCAGATCCAAGAGTTGGCTCAAACTCTTACGTTTGCAGTAATCCTGGCTGGAGGGCTGATTCCAGGTGGGTGTCTTGCAATGGCTGGGATGGTGGCTGGGGCAGTAGTTGACACAGGGGTCCCAACAGTGGTGATGGTCACTCTTCTGCACCTTCACTGTGTCCAGACCACAAGCGACCCAAGATAGATAAGAGAGGCCCAACAGGAAGAGGGGAGAAAGAAAAGAAAGAAATGGCATGGGCATTAAGGGCTGTATAATCTGAGGGAAAGCCAGTCAGAGAGAACAGAAGTGACTATCCCAATCGGTAATGCACCTGAAGCTACTGGTTTGGGCCTCTGAGGGAAGATGGGCAAAGAGATGGGTCAGAGAGGTCTTGTCTCATCAGAGATAGGGCTTACCTCCTTCTTTGCCCCCAACCCACCCTTTTGCAAATAACTACTTGGGATGGAGTGGGCAGTTTGGGGGGCTCTTTCTGGCTCCTGAGTGTCAAAATTCTGAAACACAACCCCTTCCAGTATGGTGTAGCAGTAAGAACTCCAGATTTTGAGTCAGAGAATCTGGGTTTGAATCTCAGTTCTACTCCTACTACCTACACTACCTTGAGGAAATCAATTCCCCCTCCAATCCTCAGTTTTCTCATCTGTAAAAGAGGGAATTGGACTTGGGTGTCTCCAAGGTGCCCTCCAGCTCAAACATTCTAGGATTCTATAATCTGGTTTCTCTTGGCTCATCAGAACTCTGGTGAGACATTTGTGCACCCTACGTAAGATTTGACAACCGTGCGCTCCTCCTCCCCCAAATCTTTTCTTAGGATTATGTTACATAAAGCTGGAAAGGACCTGAGAAGTAATTATAGTCCAAACCCTTCACTCTGAAAATGAAGAAACTGAGACTTCAAGAAGTTATGACTTGCAACACAGGTAATGAATGTTAGAGGTAATAGATTCCCCTCACTCTCGAACATAAAACATTTTAGCAGTCTAAGCCCTAGGGTTGAAGTGTCAAACACATATTCCCAAGGGTGGCCTGAGCCAGATTAAACTGTAATTAGGAAATATTTGACAAAATAAATAAAAATACAATAGACCATAGGTAAAATATTACATTTTGAAACTAAGCCAACATGCAGCCTGCAGAAATCTTTACCTATGGTTTCATGACCTCTGTTTCTATTTGAGTTTGACACCATGCTTTAAGGCACTCAAATATTTGTCAAAGGTAGGAAGAGAGGTTAAGGTCAATGGAATTTGATAGGTCTAGGGGAGAAGATTGTAGGTTAGTTTTTCTCTGGCTCCCATGATGTAGAACATTACTAAGGCTTCTGATCAAGACCAGGAAAAAAACCAGGATGTACTGCTCACTAGCAGTACATCATTCCCTACCAGGAGTGGGAAACCTGTGCCCTTGAGGCCACATGTGGCCTTCTAGGTCCTTGGGTGCAGCCTTTTGACTGAGTCCATGTTTTACAGAACAAATCCTTTTATTAAGGGATTTGTTCTGTGAAGTTTAGATTCAGTCAAAGGGCCACGCTTGAGGACCTAGAGGCCCACATGTGGCCTCGAGGCAGCAGGTTTCCCACCTCTGCTAGACCAATTTATTGGTTCAAGCAACTGGTGAGTTGTAAGCTTAACTTATTTATTATTGGTGCATCATTGGAAGATGGACCCCAGACAGCATAACATTCCTCCTTGCCTTGCTCAGCTGCTCCTATGAATTCCTTTCTCCTTTGTAGAGACCATGGATACTATTTACATCCCCCTCAGGAATGACATGGGGAATGCCATTCCAGAATTGGAATGGAGAGGTAAATTTGAATTTCTATTAATTCCCCAAGCTATGCTTGGAGCCTGAAGGCTTCTGTCTGGAACTTTCTCTTTCTTGGTTCTAATTGCATGAGCTGGATGGGAGTTTAGAAGACATCTACTTTAGTTGGGGGTTCAGGAGTACTTGGACTTTTCATGCCCTCCCCCACCCAAGGTGCCTGGCTCTTTCTCTGGCCTTCAGTTGGGCTGCCTGCCCCTTTCTGAAGAAACATCTTTCATGCTTCCCTCTCCTCCTTGTCTTCTTTCATTTGCTTCCCTGTCCTCTTCCTCACCTTGTGCAGCAGACAGAGTTTGGGAATCAGGGGACCAAGAGATCTGGTTCAGATGGTAGCTCTACCAACAGATTTATCACTTTCTCTCTGGGTATTGGGGCCTTTCTTCTACAAAGTGATGGAGGAACCTGCCTTGAATAGAGAGAGTTTCCTCATCTAGAATTCCCTATACCAATGAAACCATAGATCCAGGCCGAAAAAAGATGATAATTATGATGACAGACAGATATATGACCACCCTCATGGATCTTAGACTAAAATAAGAGAGATCAGTCAATCAGTAAACATTTATTAAATACCTACTGTGTGCCAGGCATTGTGCGAGGCTCAGGGGACACGGAGAGGCAAAAGACATTCCCTATTCTTAGGGGGCTTATGATCTGATGGGGGAGATAACATGTAAAACAGCTAAAGATGTGTATAAAAATACCGCTTGTATAAGGCAGAGAATATTGTAGGCACCAAATGGGACCTCTGGACTAGGAATCAGGAGACCTGGGAGCTCATCCCAGATCTACAACTACCACGTCCTCTGACCTTGGACTAAAATCACGTCAGTGTGATAAAAGTAGGAGTAAATTGTTCTGGAATTTGAGGATGTGGGTTCAAATCCTGCCTCAGGTGCTCACTTATCCTCACTGGGCCTCAGTTTCCTCATCTGTCAATGAAGGGATTGAACTAGAGGGGTCGCTGAGGTCCCTTCTAGTCCCAAATCTATGATCTTCCATTTCTATGCCAAGCTAGACTCTAAAGGCCCTTCTATTTCTCAGGTAGTGGGAAGAACACTGAATTGGAGCTCAGAAGACCTGGGTGCAAGTCTCAGCTCTTCCACTTACTAGGTATATGACATTAAGCAAATGAATTCTCTCTGCACTTCAGTTTCCAAGCTTGTTCCATGAGGGGGTTGGATTGAATGAGTTCTAAGCGCCCTTAGAGGTCATGGCAGGAACCATGTTTTCAAGCATGTTTGCTTTCCTTTCCTTCTTCCTTTCCCTACCCAGGGCCAGGTACAGGGACTTGCCCAGCAGATGCCCTCAGTTGCTGTTTGAGTCCAACAAAATCACTACTGGCATCTTGAGGAAGCACCAGGGCCAGCTTCCTACATGCTGCTGGATGGCTGCCCAGTCTGTCTGGCCATGGGCTGGGCCCAACCCACCTGCATCAGGAGGCTTCAGGGGCAGCCTGCTCTGGTGAGCTGGCAGGATCTCCAACTTGACATTCTCTGTGGTGCTGGCTAACAGCTGCATTGCCTCCAGCACAGAGCAGTGCTCGGTACTGGTGCCATCGATGGACAGGATGTGGTCGCCAATGTGCAGGGCCCCGCACCTGCAGAGAGGAGCAGAGACAGGCTCATGAGAACCCCAGGGCTGCAGGAGGGACAGGAGGACAATGGGCTGGGTCTGGCAGGGAGTCCCTGTGCCTTAGGGGAGACCGGCACAGAGGCAAATGGCATCTGGGAGAGCCAGATGCAGCTCCAGGGGAAAACAAGTATTGAGTGTGGGTGTGGAGGAGAGTTCATTTCTGATGGGCTTGCAGCCTTGTAAATGCGGGAAGACAGTCATCCTAGAATCATAGGAGCATTGATTTAGAGATGGAAGGAAGGGACCTCAGAAGTCAACTGACCCAAACCCATCGTTTCACAGATGAGGAAACTGAGGTCTAGAGAGAGAAAGCAACTATCCCAAGGTCACATGGGTAGTAAGAGGCAGATATGGGATTTGGACCCATATTTTCTGACTCCAAATCCAGTGCTCTTTCCACTGCCCTGACATCTTGAGGAAGGGGAAGGATAGGGATAGGGCCTGCCCCTTCTCTCAACAGCATTGATTCTGGGGACAGGAATTTGGGATGGAGCTGGGGATGGTATGAAGAAGGAGAGGACTGGAAGTCTTCCTTGAGGCCCTGGTCTGGGGGTCCAACGGCTATGAACCTGTGGGAAACCTGCCATACCTGTCTACCACGCTGGCCGGCTTGATCTTGTCAATCACAATGACCTGTTTGTTCCTGTGGGTGCCAGAGGTGAGCGAGATTCCCAGAGTAGAGCCCGGTGTCTTGGCTATTTCCACTAATAAAGGACCTGAGGCGTTGGCTACCGTATCTGGGGAGGGGAACAGGATATGTTTGAGAGGAGGACAAAAAAAAGAGGAAGGGAACACCGGTCAGTGTAAACTTGGGGGCTGCAGGGCTAGGTAGGAAGGGGTCTTGGCCGCGGCTTCCCTTTACTCCAAGAAGAAGAGAGAAAATGGAGAATGACTGTTATATAGGCCCACCATAGATACAAGAAGGCCAACTATCATTGTTCTCCCCCTATTCTAGGTCCCCCTTAAAGCTAGACTAATCTAGCTATTGCTGCCAATAAAGTGGATAGAATCATAAAAGCATAAAATAATAGTCTGGAAAAAAACCTTAAAGATATCTCATCCAGGGATTCCCAACCTTTTTGGTCCCTGCATCCTTGGATTTCAGTAAACTTTATTGTGCATCTTATTCAATATGGCAAAAAAAAATAATTACAGGTTTCACCATGAACATAAATAAAGGATTCATCAAAACTTTTGTCACTTAATTGATTGGAAATCAATTCTAAAAAGAAAGATCCAAATGTTTCCTGTATTCTTCTGACAAACTTCTTATACACTTTGAGAGTGTATTGGGAATCCCTGATCTAAGACAACCATATCATTTTACAAATGAGGAAACTGAGGCCATAGAGAGTCACACAATGAGTTAGTGGCAGAGCCCAGACTCCTGACTTCTAGTCAAATGTTCTTTCTGTTGTACCCTACTGCTTCTATAAGGACCCTGTCTGGACTTGGACCCTATCTCTATTCCTGACTCCTGTCTTGCTCAGCCAGGCTTTCTTCTTCACAGAGATCACAGCATAGATCACACCCAAAGTTTGGACAGGCACACCCAGTTGTACCCAGTTCCTGTGATTTGTACATGTATGGGTCAGCCTAATGGGGAATAGCTTCCCATTTGAGAGAAGTATCCTACATACCCTTTTAGATAGCAGACATCTAGTCATAGAAATCTATTTCCGCAAGGCTGTGGTTATCATAAGTGTCTAAATGCTGGAATTGCTCAGTAGGAAATATGCATCAGGACCTAGTATAGCTCAGCCTTGTCACCTGTATGACAGCCCCTATGGACTCACTATATGCAGGTTCACCTATACCTTCCAGGGACTCAAATCCAAAGGTACAAAAATTTACCCTTAAATTACCTAGAGAGCTACACCCAACCCCCTCTTCCAACACATAACACATACACACACACACACACACAACACACACACACACACACACACACACTTGTGCTTTCTCATCTTGAAGTATCATCGACTGACCAATCTCTCTCCTTACTATGCCACAAATTACTCAAATCTGACACTGCCACCACCACCCAATCTGTCCTCAGACCTTCCTCCTCATATGGATTCACTCTAGCATTGCTTCTGGCCATGCCAATGCCCTTGATGACCAGGATCAAGAGAACTTTGGGGTGCTCTCTTTCAGTCCAGGGATAGTTACTTTGAACAACTTCTCTCTTTCTGCCATTTCTCTGCCTCCTCTTTGGAGTCTACTAGTTAGAGCTGAAATGACCTCAAAGATTATCTGTCAAACTCCATCATTTTGTTTTTGTTCAGTCATTTCAGTAGTGTCCAACTCTTCATGACCCTACTTGGGGTTTTCTTGGCAAACACACTAAAAGTGGTGTGCCATTTCCTTCTCCAGCTCATTTAATAGATGAAGAAACTGAGGCGAACTTGGCCAAGGTCACACAGCTAATAAATGTCTGAGGCTAGATTTGAACTTAGGTAGATGAGTCTTTTTGATTCCAAGCCCTGTGCTCTATGCACTGCACCACCTAGCTGCCTCTCATTTTAAAGATGAGGAATTTAAGGCTCAGAGAAGAAGTGACTTGTCCAAGGTTGCAGAACAGGCCGATGTCAGAGTCAGAGTCAAAGGCAGAGCACACCTCCCCAAGCTCCCTTTAGTAGATGTCCCCATCTTTATTTTCCATAACCAAAGATTTTGTGATGTCTGCACCTTAACTGAGGGTAGGGGGAGGGATTTGAAGGAGCAGAATGTCTGCCCCAATCTCTACCCCAGGATGATTTATTTTCCCCTTTCTTATTTCTTATTTCCCTTTCCTTTCTTGCTCTTTTCTCACTCTTCAGACTGCATTTTGAGGGTAACTTTGTGGTCCTCCCTTCATACCTTTCTCCTCTGCACACCCTTTTTCATTTCTTAGCACTCTTCTTTAAGGTGTTTGGGGTGGAGAAAAAACGGAGGGTGAACAGGATTAGGGTTTCCTTAAGAGAGCATTAGGTGAGGCGACAGGTAAAGGAGGGCCAGAGGACGGGACTACATGTCCTGGCTCTGTTACTTAATTGCTGTGTGACCATGGGTGAGTCATTGAACACTTCTCAGACTTAGTTTTCTCACCTATAAAGTAATGGATTTGGATTAAAGAATTAACCAACTCACAAGAATTTGCCAAATTTCTACCACATCTGTGTTAGGCACTTGGGGTCCTTTAGTGACTATTCTGATAAAGATAAGGGTTAGGACCTGAAGGTGCCAGGCTGCTGCTGGGGTGGGAGTGGGGGTGGAGCAAGTGCCTCAGATGAAGATGGAACAGCATGTGTATTAATGCTGGAGAGGGCCTTACACATGATCTATTTCAGTCCATTTTACATATTAGGAAAGTCCAGCTCAAGAAGTTTAGGTAATTTGCCTATGGCCACCCAAATTGTTAAGTCATAGGACCACAAATCTGGAAGAGGACTTAGTTAGTCCAACCCTCTCATTTGGCAAAGGAGGAGAGGGAGGCCTGAGTACATTAAGTGTTTTGCCCAAGGTCACACCGGTCATGTCAGAGTGGGGATTCGAACCCGGGTCTTTTACTTCCAAAATCTGTGCTCTTTCTGCAACATACAGAAGGCACACTTCCATGTCATTTACCTGACTTTAAGATGTCTCACATGAGCACCAGCAGGGACAGGGCTGGGGGTGGAATTTGGTTACCTTTGGGAATCAGTGGAGCATATGTTTTATTTGGTATGTAGAGAGGAAGAAGGATGAGGTGATTTAATCACAGCTGTAATTTTTATGGGCTTTAGGCAGGCCAGTTATAGATCTGTGGATGGCACAGTAGATAGAGCACCAGGCTTGGAGTCAGAAAGACCTGAGTTTAAATCCAGCCTCAGATATTTACTAGCTATGTGACCCTAGGAAGTCACTTAACCTTGTTTGTCTCAGTTTCCTCATCTGTAAAATGAGTTGGAGAAGAAAATGGTAGACCACTCCACTATCTTTACCAAGAAAACCTCAAATGGTCTACTACTAGGTCATGAAACACACTTAGAGGAAATGCCATCTCTTGGAAAGGAACAGAAGCCTGCCTCATCCCCTGGGAAATGGCTTGATTAAGTAAACAAGAGTCAGAGACTTGTGGTTTAGCAAAATTAGGGGAACGGTTAGAACAGGGCTGTTGTGTCCAGTGTAATTTTAAAGTGATTCAAGTAAGCACGAGGCAAATTAGATGCTTAACAAGTGTTCAATTAAATAATGCTCAGAACTTTCCCTTCTCCATCAACATTAAGTGCCTACTGTGTGCCAGGTACTGTGTTAGGCAATTAAAGACAAAGATGTCCTGGACCTTAAGAGGCATACATTCTATAGGACAAAGAGACAAAGGTGTTAACAACCAAAGCCCTGATATTGGAAAAAACATCTACAAAACTAATTCAAGTAAGAAATTCCCCACAAGGGAGAAACAAAAATATGCCATTAGCTCATCTTGGTTTCCATTTATTTCCATCACTTTGGTGTTCAGTGGACACTATCACGAGTTTTAAAGCTATAACAACAATGACAAAACCAGTTTCACGGGACCCCAGATCTTCTGAAGTCTCCTCCAGTGATTTTCTTTTTTTCATTACTCTACACAGCACAAAGGACTCACTCAAGACCTACCAACAACCTGTTCTGCAGATGGAAGGCTAACTTTCCTGAGCTCCATGCCTTTAGCACTCTGGACAGAGCTATCTCCAGAGGCATTAGATCTGGGATTCACCTCATCCTGCCCCCTGCTATGGTCTCCGAGGGCTGCCCAACCACACAAACTGCTCTGGTCTCACTAGTTTCCTGCCAAGAGAGCTCACAGCCCACACAGTGATGCAAGTCTGCTTATAGGGAGGGTTTGCTGAGCAGAAATTCTTAACAACATTGATGGGCCTGTCAGTAATTGCTGTCAGACCATCAATCTCCACCCTCGCCTCCTTAGTCCTTTTCCTAGGTTTTAGAAATCCACTGAACCCAGCCATACCATTTTCCCTGGCATCACCAAGTTCATCCAATTTAATGGTGCCTTGTATTGGTATGAAGGTTTATAGGATGAACAATTTGGTTTATATAACCTGTCTTTTCCTATGGGACTATCCACTTATGCAATTTAAAGACCCACTAAAATGCCCTGCTTACCCAAAATATTTCCTCTACTATATGGATAGGTGCCAAAGAGATACAAGGTAGTTTTGGGGGGAAGGGAGGGGAAAACTGGAAGCTGGTGAGGAGATCAAGCAAGGTTGCACTTGAACTGAACCATGAAGGAAATTTGAGATCCTAAGGAGCAGTGGTGAGGAAGGAGAATGTTGCAGGCATGGGGACCACCAGGACAAAGGTTTAGAAATGGGAGATGGAGTGCTGTGTATGAGAAACAGGAAGAAGGCTGGATCCTTCTGGATCCAAACTGGATCCAGTTTGGCTGGATTGTACCATGTTCAAAGGGGAGTAATGTGCAGAAAGTCTGAAAGGGCAGATTGGTGCTAGACTGTGGAAGGCTCTAAATGACAAACAAAGGAGTTTATATTTGATCCTAGAGGCAATAGGGAGCCACTAGAGATGTTTGAGCAGTAACATGGTCAGACCTGTGCCTGAGGAAAACCATTTTGGGAGCTAGGTGAAGGATGGGTTGGAGTAAGGTAAGGCTGGAGGCTGAGATTCCACAATTAGACCTGCTGACTTGGCCCTGCTCTGTCTGTAAATGAGCCAAGAACATGACTGGCTTCTCTCACTCTTTTCCCTTCTCCATCCTCTCTTCCCTTCCCTTCCTACCTTTATTCTCCTCCCTGCTTCCCTCCTTTCTTCCTCTCAATCTCCTTCACTTTCTCCTTCTCTTTCCCCACATCTCCCTTCCTCCCTCCTGCTCCTTCTCTTCTTTTCTCCATTTCTCTCTCATCCTCTCTTCTCTAGGACTTAAGAACATGTTTATCTCAAGCCTGATAGGCTCTGCTAGGCTTAGGACTGGAAATCCATCTCCATCCTCTTGATAGAAATAATTGTCTGTTTTATATATTTAGAATTACTGTACAAAAAAAATGTATTTTTAAGTTAAGTGGCAGAGAGTGATAGCGTGCTGTTCTGGGAGTCAGGAAGACCTGAGTTCAAATCCAACCTCAGACACTCAGTAGCTCTGTGACCTGAGCAAGCCACTTAATCTCTGGTTGCTTCAGTAAAATAGGGACAAAAGTAGTATCTACTTCATGGGGCTGTTGTGAGGATCAAAGGAAATAACATATTGCTTTGTTGGGAAACTGTTGATGCAATAACCTTAAAGTGATACATCAATGCTAGCTAATAATAATAATAAATAATAAATGATAATAATGATGATGATTATGATAAAACTCATTATTAATGGATGTTTATGTTTCAATCACCTAACAGGCCTTTAGTAAGTACCTCCAATGTACAGGCAGTATGGGCAACAATCAGTAAGTTAGCATGGTTGATGGTAGAGGGCCATAATTACAGGGAATAATGTTTAAGAAGGAATCTTTATAAAGGTAGGAAGGGGCCAGATTGTGAAGAGCTGATGGGGCAAAAAGAGAAATTTGTCTTTGATCTTAGGCTAATAGGGCTGAATATTCCTCCTTATGGTCTATTCAAGTACCACAATCAATCAAGAAACATTTGCTTCATGTGCCAGGCACTGTGCTATTCAAGTATGTTCATTTCTGAGCTGAGGATTCTCCTACCAGATGATCACACCTGAATATTTCTCTCTTTAGGAAAAAAAAAAACAGTTATCTCTTGGTTTCAGCTTTGCTGCTGTCCTAAGGCCAAAACCAGAAGATTCTGGGGGTCCTGGCACCATGATAGATTTAGGGGCACAGCATGCTTAAGAGCTGACAGAAGTTTGGAGGTTCTCTCTCTCCCCCAGTCCAACAGCCTTATTCACAACAACCCAAAGAAGTACGTGCTGTAAGTATTATTATCTCCACTTTCCAGAAGAGGCAAATGAAGCCCAGAGATGGCATTTGTCCAAGGCCACACAGAAATAAGATATAGAAAGGGGGTTAAAACCCAGGCAGTTTGAAACTCAATCTTGTCCTCTCTCCGCTCTACCAAGCAGTCAAGTCCTTTAATTCAATATTTTTTCAGGTTAATTTCTTCTTTTCAAAACCAAGAAGCTTCCTATTTACTCTAAAAATTTCATTTGCTGCAGGGGAGGGAAAGGCCAGCTCCCTAAAGACCAAGAGAAGTTACCTAACAGAACCTGAAGGCATGCAGTCTTGGAGGTACCCAGCATGGGATAGGGGCTCCCACATACCATCCCCTATTTCCTCAGCTGACACTCAAATGCACCTGCCCCTTTAGATTAAATACTTTTCCTGGCTTTGAATCGTGCCTCCTGGAATGTTATTTTCAGAAGCAGGACTCCTGAGGAGGCAAGGTCAGAAGTGAGCATTTGTGGTAATCCTTTGGGGATCACATTCACCACCCCTGCCTGGCACAGGGATGTTCTGAGGATCAAAGGAGGTTTCATAGAATTTCAGAGGTTTGAAAGCTGGAAGGGACTCTAGACATTGTCTCGACCTATACCCTTATTTTGCCATGTATGAAGTAGGAAAGGCACATTAAGGCTTCAGCACTTGGGTTGAGCCCACGGGACTGCAACAACACACCAGGTCATAGAACAAGCCCTAATTTTAGGAAAGCTTCCTTTAGGGCCTGATTCAACTTTGTCTAGGCCTAAGCAATTAGAAATGGTGAAGGTAGGGAGAACAAAGATGGGTAATATGGAAAAAAAAAAGCCCTGGATTTAAAATTTAGAGGAAATAAGTTTATATCTCAGACCCTGCCACCACCTTATGGTATGACCTTGGGTAAGTCTGAGTCTCAGTTTCCTCATCTCTCAGATGGGGGTAATAATAACACAAGGAGCTTGTGAGAATCAAGTAAGAAGATACATTGAAAGCAATTTTGTAGTGTGATAAAATGTAACAAGACTATATTGCCATCACCATCGATGCCTTCTTTCCCTCTCCTAACCCACTGCTGGCTTTGGCAGAATCATTACTAGGGGCCTAAGCACTGAGCTCCTAGGCTCAGTTCAGTGGGTGGTCTCCCAGAAGGGCCGTGTGTCCTTACCCATAATGGAGACGTCATATTCAATCTGGAATAGGGCCTCCTGGCTGCATTGTCGAAGGATGTTGAGAGCATCTGCATGGGTCAGGTTGTGAAGCGGGATGCCATCCACACTGAGCAGCCTGTCCCCAATTCTCAGGGATCCCTCCCTGTGGGAAACCAAGGCACATGTGAGACTTTTATAAGCCTAGAAAGTCAGAGCTAGAAAGTACCATAAAACAAAAGAATGTCAGAAGTGAGAGGGCCTTTAGAATAGAGAATGTCAGAGCAGGAAGGGACCTTAGAACACAGAATATCAGAGATGGAAGGGACCTTCAAAGAGAGAATTTCAGAACTGGGGGTGACTTTAGAACACAGAAGGTTAGAGCTGGGAAGGATCTTAGGACATAGAACATAAGAGTTGGAAGGGGCTTTGGAACATTGACTATTGGAGTTGGGAGGGATCTTAGGACATAGAACATCAGAACCAGAAGGGACTTTGGAACATTGAATATTGGAGCTGGGAATAAAATTAAAAGAGACTTGGAGATGGCTAAATACCGCTGATCTTCCCAATGCACATCATCCCCTCCCCAAACTTGATGTGATTGAGTTAAAAGCAGGGCCTCAAAGCTGAATGATGGCCATTCAGATGCTGTTTGGAGAACATTGTGACTTTCCCTTTCAGTGGCTTGAACAAATGCACACTGTTGGTCCCAGCTCAAAATAGCTCATTAGATGTTTGCTTAAAAACAAAGCAAAACAAAAATTTTACTGTTTTGGAGAATGACAAATAAAATCATACCAGGGTTTGGCCAGGTTCAGGATTCAGCACATCCCTGCTGTGAGCCAGAGACTTTGGTTCAGTCCTGGCAATAAGTGACTTTCTAACCAGCAGAGAACTCTGCGGGGGCAGTTTTATTTTAACTGTGGCCAAGTGCTATTAGTAGAGGGAGCTATTAATAAACCTATCCTGAGCCATTCTAGGAATAACTGATATAGATATCTGGACAAAGCTGAGTATGAAGAGTGCCTAAATATAGCTTGGAATTTCTTGGTTGGCATGAATGCTATGACGGCCTACAAACTTTTAAAGGGGTGGGCCAGGTTGGTGAAATAGAAATCAGAGTTTGGGTTTAGAATCAGAGGAACTGAATTTGAGTCTTGGTTTGGCTACCAACTGCCTTAGGCATCCCTTCACTTCCCTCTTCCCCAGATTCCTCCTAAGTAAAATGAGGGGGTTGGACAAGATGACCTATAAATCTCTTCCAGCTCTAAATGTCTGCTCTTAATTCAGTCCTTTTATGGACCTGGTTTGGGCTTGGGGTCCATGAGGGGAAGGCCTAACCCATAAAAGCACTAACCCCAGACTTGCTCAGCAAAGGAAACAAAGCTGCTAGAAGGCCTGGTACTAATTCTGTTGTTTCTTTTTTTTAATTCTCTTTTATTATGAACTTAATAAGCACAAACTTTTTCAATATAGAAAGAACAAAAAAAAGAGAGCTATCTATATAAAACTGTGAGCTTCTCTCATATCTTTTTAAAAAGATGTACATTTAATTTAACCAGGTAGTAACCAAATCCCCACCCTAATTCTCCTGACTGTCCTTAGAAGTGTTTTTTGGGGGTGGGAAAAGAGCTATTCACAGAAGCAATTTGTCCAGATTACCAAGAGTATTCCATCTTTGCCAAGTAATCCTGTTTCCCTCCACTGTGTATTATGGGATAGTTTGGGGCTTTATATCTTTGTGTAATTCAAATTTGGTTTCATGGGCATGTTAAAACTAAGTTTGGCAGGTGATGGCTAGGAAAACCTGTCTCTGGAGGAAAGAGTATGGGATTTGGAGTCAGAAGACCTGGGTTTAATTTGTGTCTCTGCTACCATGGCCAAGCCAGTTCACCTCTGTGGGCCTCAGTTTGCTACTCATCTATAAAATGAGGGGATTGAACCAGATGTACAATAAGGTTTCCTCAAGCTCTGAATTTCATGAGCTAGGAGTTCAGCCTTTTCTTTTCCCTCTGTCTTTGCAGCCTCCTCACCCTGGAATATCCTTCTGTCCCTGTGTCTCCCCTTTGCCCATTGGTGAGTTCGTACAAGGGCCTCCATTTTAGGCCCCAGCCAAGACATCCATCATTACTCTCCTTCTAAGTTTCCCAACTTTATCCCCATCCCTGCCCCAAGTCCCTGCTTTTTAGCTCTCTTTTTATGTGTTATCTTCCTACATTAGAATGTAAATACCTTGAGGGGAAGGACTATTTACCTTTTTGCTTGGATTTGTACTTTGCATATTGCTTGGCACATAGTTAATGCTTAATAAATACTCATTGACTGTTTGATCCAGATTTGGAGGGTGGGGGATGTCTATGAATTTGGATGAGAAGAAAATTACATTATTATTTTCACTAACCTCTACCTGAAATGTAGTCTTTCCTTCAATTATGACTATAGGCAACAAACTGCAGAAGTATTATCACTAACAAAATAATAGTCCATTCTTGTAAAGAGTCTGGTAGAGAGAAAACCATCACATAATTGTAATAAAAAATATTTGTGTTTAAATTCTGCTTTTATCAATAACCACACATGTGATCATGGGTGGGTGGTCACTCCTCTCTGTATCTCATTTTCCTCTCTTGTACAGTGAGGGGATTGGACTAGAGGATCTTTAGAACATCTTTCTAGCATTGACCTTCTAGGCTACAATTGATCCTACGTTGGTTTGGAGCAGGGAGTAGTTTTAGAATATTGCATTCCCAAAGACCTGGTCTAGAGTCCCTACTGGATAGGGAAATGAATGACAGTTATTATGTAATGGCCTGAGAGAGGCATTTCCCCTATGCCTAAATGTCAAAACAAACAAACAAACAAACAAAAACCATCTGAGACAACTCAAGACCTCCATCTTCAAACATCTGAAGGGTTGTCACATGGAAGACAAAGTAGATTTTTTTTCCTCAGTATGCACAGAAGGCAGAATTAGCATTGCTTAAGGGAAAGCTACAGGGAGGAAGGTTTCAGTCCAAGATAAGGAAGAATTTTTGAACTATGGTGAAGCAGAGATCAGAGAGATCAGGGTTCTAATCCTAATTCTGCTACTAGTTAATGGTATAATCTTATACAAGTCATTTTTCCTCTCTGGAACTCAGTTTCCTCATGAGCACAAGATGACCTTTCATTTCTGAAATTGTTTGATTTGATGAAATTCCACAAACATTTTACTAAGCACCTACTATGTGACAGGTATTGTGCTAGGCAGGAAGGATGTAAAAATGAATAAGAAACAGTCCCTGTCCTCAAGGTGCTTACATTTTATTGAATTCTATGATTTTAAATAGAGCTATCCAATAATGGAACATACTACCTTGATAGGTGGTGAAAATCTCATCACTGGAAGTACTCAAAGAGAAGTGAATGGCCATATGTCAGGGATTCTATGGACCTTGGATGGAAAAGATCAGTTGGACCTTGGGCTGGTCCCATCTCTGCACCTCAGTTTCCAGGACTGGAAAAAGAAGATTTCTATTCCAATTCTGAAATTCAATAGCTATGGAAGCTAAGCCATTTGAGTATAAGAAATGATGCATTTTATTCTTCTGATCAAGCTTTTGCTTAGGGAGCTGGAATGTCTGGCTGCCTCATCACAATTGATTTGGAATTGAAGGAGGAGGCAGAAATAGCTGAGGGCTGTTCCAGACACACCATGATTCTCTTTTCCACCTACCATCCAATAATTTTCCATATCCCAAATAATAATCAGGACCTTCAATGGGCCTTCTAGAAACCATTCTTGTAAGAGGCCATCAGAGAGTCCAGGCCTCTGGGAGAGGGAGGAAGAAGATGAGTTAAAGTAGGCAGGATGCTCCAAAGTCACATGTGTGGGTACACATAGCACATACCTGAACATGCCTGCACCCAAAGCCCACAGACAAAAGTATGTGAACATACATTTATATATGGACAATCATGGGTGTGTGTGTGTGTGTGTGTGTGTGTGTGTGTG